CCGGGTTTCGTGCTACTTGGCACTCGTCAGCAAGGCGTACCTATAATCTTGAGGGAACTGGTGCTTTCTGACGGATTCGATCCCGTGTCACCCAGCTTCACAGTCAGAGGCGTGAAACAGAAAACAAATCGAGCAATACACTGTATGCAGCTGCTCCAAATGGTTCTCATCTTTTTGTGATACAAGTTTCTGACGAATCTAATTATCGAGATTATCTTTTACCAGAAAACAAGTCAGATGCATCAAATGATGATCAGAAACGTAATACGATTTCGACAGATGCTGATTACCTTAATGATCCATTATCTACAAATGAGGCTCCCAATAAAATTAATAATAATATTTCAGAAGATTCGAACTCTGATGAGCTCGAATTAAATGGCGTTTATCCTCACTATCTGGTCAATTTTACTAGATTCTCTGTTCAATATGTTTTAAATATAGCCAAATTAATTGTAACTTGGGTATATGAGGACCCAACGTTATTTCGCGGGGGAAATGAACTCGGGAAACTTAAAATTCGGATCTCAACTACGGATCTTCAAAAAAATGGGAGGAGTGTTGAGGACGATAGATCTTCAAAACTCATATTTTGTAATTTTATCTTTGTGGAGCTTGTATGCAGATGTATATATGGGCATTTCTTACAACCCACGCACATAGTCGGTTGACGAACCTATTGATTAAATGCTTAAAAGCTCCATGGCATTATCGATCAGATATATTTGTATATATACGTTTTTAAATTGTGTGTGTTGAGCTCGCTCATTTACTGGCTGTTTCAGGATACACTTTCCATTCTAAGCTTGGACTTCTCCCTCTAGATGGCGGGGCTGGGATGCATCAATAGCTAGCTTACTGGTCTTGGTCACCGAGTCTTGTTTCTCGTTCGCAGATTAAGTGAACTCGTGATAGCTTCAAACCTAGCACACTTTAACCATGTTATGTATCAATCTATAGATCATTTAATTGTACTTGTAATCAAAACAGTTTACTAGTTTATATTAGAAATTTTCAAGTTATGTTATGAAATACATAGCAAGTATGTATTTTTGAATAGTCCATTAAAACAATTGAGAAAATCATTGTTCTATTGTATAAATACTACAATTAGTTTATGTTTTCCATTTGATATAATTATTTATTTATATATGTTAGCTTCTTAAAGTGTTAAAATGCTTCCAATCTAATAGTGAAGCAAAATACCTCAAAATTCAAGTTGAACTATTAGTATCTAAGGAAACAAGACGCAGGTCACATTGGAATTTATGGATCATATATTAATTGATGACAAAATGATATCCCGTAGGAGCTATACTGGTTGTGTGAATAAATAAAATAAAGTAAAACATTTACAGGTTTGATGAACGTGGTAATATTGCTTATTCTGTAATCAAATAGATGGTATTGAGTAAAATGATCATTAAATTTAAGTATAATAGATATGGATATCCATTTTAAAGAGGTTATAACACTGTATAGGTAGTTTCCTGAATGACTGAGTATCCGAATTTATCTTGAATTTAGATTTGCACCGTTGGTTTGGAATCAGGGTTTCCCAACTACTCTAGGTGGTTCTTCCATACCTATCAACCCGGTTAAACTGCCGGACATTCTCATTTTGTCTTCTTAATTTCGTAAATAACACCTCCACCGCGAGAAGGCAGTGAGTAGGACTTCCCTGACAGTGGCATCATACGCGTGGCCATGTGTGAGCATTTGACAGGGAGAGCAGACTCTATCCACACTCGGCCGTACCAGCATATTTGGGGGTATTTCTTGTTTTAACGAAACTAACTTACTTATCTTGAATGACACTTATCATGGGTGCGAAATTTTAATACACATTCATTCATGAATAAGCACTTAGATAATATAATTCAGAATCTGTCGTTAGAAAGGTAGCGCAATTTAAATTTTTGTGGTAGTTTTATGTTGATTATACATATTCTGATGTCTATGATCAAATGCCTACATTTTAAAATTTCAGTAATAGCCCTACAAAACCCCTTTCCTTTGATAGTAAATTAATTATGTTTGGGTTACTTATGATTTTGTAAATAGTTTTCAAGAAAACTTTTTATACTTTACGTAATGCTTGTGTACAGATGACTGATGAGTGTATAGAATGACGTCATAAGATAAGGATGTGGAAACCATGAATGTGATATTTTTGACCGTTTGTCAGCTATTAGATGGTTTATTTATGAATTGGTTACAAACTAAGACATGAATAAACTTTTCAAGAATTATGTATTTAAACAAAATTCACTTCTGAGTAGACTTTTGACTCGATTTTGTTTTCATCTATAATTCTCTTAGGAACCTTATTCTTTATAAGACAGCTGTTGGCTGATATTTCAAATTGGCTCAAAATAATTAAAAGTTTCTGTAGTGATCCTATGTGACATATTTTAACATTGAGTTCATTTTTACATACAAGCAAACAATGGATGGATTTTTCACTATCCCAGTTTTCTAAAGAAATAAACATTGTCCAAGCTCTGAATAACAAAACTTTATCTTATGTCATTCACCAAGAAACTTTCTGACAGTGACTTTAATAATTTAAAATGTTAAGTAATAAAATGAATGAATGTCTTACTTAGTATGTAATAAATTAGACAGGACAATGTGTTAACTTTATCAGTTACGATAATATTTCCCTTATATATATATATATATATATATATATATATATATATATATATATATATATATATATATATATATATATATATATAATTGGAATTCTGAAGGTTAATTAGATATTATTGATATATCATAATAACCTGTTCAATAGTTTATAGCAGTTAATGCTAATAATTGAAATTTATATATGAATTTAATTGGAATATTGCTTATTTGTATGGTCTGTCAAATTAATTAAAACATATCTTCATTCACTTAATTATTAAAAATCATTCTAACATCATTTTGTATTGTTTACTTGAATCTCCCAATTGATATTTAGGAGTGCAATTAAAAAGTGTTTTATTGATATATATGCAAACTGTACGGATTGCCTCGATATTGCCTGAAGTCACACTCATTATAAGCAGAGATTGATGGTGGATAGCATTGGAGCCCAGTAAGCACGTTTCGTCCCATTAGGGACTCGTCAGCTAGATGTACCTGCATCCCACAGCTGGTGTTCACCCTGGGACATAGACTCAGTAACGTTCGCTTCAAACGCCATCACGTTATTCACTTAGCCACTTGCTTGTGAAATGGGATGAAGTTTAAATTCATTTTGTAATTTTTTACTTGAATTTTCATACTGATGTTTAGCAGTGCAATCGATTAGTGTTTTATTGGCAAATGTGCATCCTGTGCGCACTTATGATAAGCAAAAGTGGATAATAGCTAGCAGTGGAATCTAGGAATCGTGTTTTATCCTATTTGGGATTCATCAGATGAATATATTACTAAACATCAATGGGAAGATTCAAACAACCAATACAAAATGAATTGAAACTTCACCCCATTTTGTACAATCTAGTGACATATCCTAGATTCCACTGCTAGTCAACATTCATCTTTGCTCATAATAACTATTATTGTTTTTCTTTTACACAATGATTACAGTATTCGTTTCATTTTGATAGAACTAAAATAATTTCTTGTCATTATTATTGATATTTTGCGGTAAATATGAATTGTAATAAGAAGAAATAAAAAGATACACAACTTATTTAAATAAGTATTGTTCTCTTAAGATTTTTAACAAGTTTACATTAAACGTTTTGTTTTATGATTAACTCAGTCTTATTTCACTTGCATAAGGAAAAGAAACAAAAAGTTGGGGATGGGGTGGGGCAAAGTAAATAAAATAACTAGATTTCAGTTTGTTTTCTTTAAAAGTCTTGTTATCATTAGTTCAATATTTAAAGGTTTGTTAACTTACATTTATACACGCATGAAACCTCATAAATGTTTTTTTTTGTTTGAAAACAACTACTTAAAAAGTACTAAACAGAGTTAAGAATACATATCGTAGTGTATCAGTAAAGCTTAGTTGTTAAAATAACTGTTTCAATATGAGTAGTAATATTGAGGTTATTCAAATAAAATTAAAATGATATCATTTGATATATGCAATTATTTAAACATTTGTATGTGTATGTTTAGGCATGAGGGTATGCACTCTTATAGAGAATTTCATAATCACAAAACAACAGCCCATGATATTCAATACTATTTATACATAAACGTAGACATAAGATTCATAAATGGAAATCTTTACAAGCGCATTAAAAGTTTTTTTTTCAAATAAAAAATAGGAATAATAATGGTGTTATGCATAGGAACGGTAACGTTCCTAATTATAACATTAAAAATGTATACATACCTATCAATATATATATATATATATATATATGCCTTCATTATCACAAATATTCCGTTTTATGTCCTTATGCAAAGTGGATCTACAAATGCATTTACATTGTAATTTTCATTTAATTGTGGTTTTTTTTATTTAAATGACACATATAAGTAACGAAAAGAGAATAAAGTGCGATGATAAAATTCTGTTGCGAAATATATAAGACAAAGATATGCAATTATGATTATTAGCATAGAATAAGGGAACAAAATACAGAAGAAAAGAGAAATAAGTGATCCACAAAATCTGGCGAAAACATAAACGACAACATGATAGTAGACAAGTCATGGAAGAACTAATCTTACATAATTATAAGCACAGTAATGATAGAATTTTATTTTAAACTTTTTAAAAGAACCTAATAAATAATATGGACAGCCAGTGTCTAATTGTTAATTTGATATATAGACCCCGACTGATTAATTATGCAGTTTAATTGAAAAACAGTGTACATTTTGTCAACTGGTTATAAAACCGGGATATAAATATTTTTTACGTTACATGTTTTAAATGACTAATGTACACAAACACATATACACACATGTAGACGTACAAGTTGAAACCGAGTAAATAATTATTAAACACAAGAAAAGCACAGTGTAGTAGTAGTAGTAGTAGTAGTAGTAGTAGTAGTAGTGGTAATACAATATACAGAATCAAAGGTTCAGTGAACATTAAAAAACTGGAAGCATAAAATACAACAGATAACGTCTTAGTAACAGAAAGTAAATAGTACGTTAGGAAGTAATATTGACTAGTTTCAATTGCTATGAAGAGGGCGATTCATTTTGATACTTTAGGAAATAACTTATTTTATCTATTTATCTGATTAATAATGTTGACATCTGTCAACAATTATACTGAATAATGATCAAATGATGAAAGATATTCTAAAACTGCATTATAACAAAATTGATATTGATCTTCAGTTTGAACCATACCAGGTCGTTGTGTTCGAAGCATTCGTATAGTTTGAAACATATCTACAATTCCTTCATGTCTCATTCTTTCAAGAACAATGGATAAAGCTAAGAATACACCTGTTCTGCCAACTCCAGCACTAAAATAAAAATAATAAATTCGAATAATTTGTAATTAAAGCTTTTTAATATTCCTATGAATCTATTAAACAAGATTTATTAATGTACAACAATAAATGTTAAACTTATAGAACAGTGTTATTCTATATTGTAGAAGTTAATCATTATTATTACTGTAGTGATCGAAGACTCTGTGTAGATAACCGATTTGTTATTTAACGCTGAATCACATAGTAGCTTAGTAAAATGTGAAAATTATACATTAAATATATCATTTGTACATCTTCTTTGAGTTGTTCTTACACACTTCCTTATTCCTCTAATTCTATTGTTGTTTCGATTGTTCTCAGATTCCCCTCCTGTTCTCTTCATTGTAATCTTCCGCTGCCAGGTATTCCATTTTTGATCGGTACCACACACTAATCATGTCTGTCAGCATAAGTAGCATGCACCACAGTACTAGTAAATGTTAGCTCAGATTATAATCAAAGTGAAAATATATTGTTGAAGAAAGTAATGGAATTTTATCTCCCCCAAGAACTTTCTGATACATTTACTTGTAAGTTGTGGGAACGAATTCACGGGATTACTAATTAAAGTATTTTGAAGTTTTACACTTAATTAGAGATTCAACAAATTAAAAATAAAGCAGAAGTGTGTTATTTTGTTCTATACTGCCCACTTTTGGCTTAGCGCTTAATGTAGACTAACGAAAATCATAATAGGGAAAGGTTGTTATACACAGTATTTATTAATAGATAGTGCTATCAATCTTCTGTGTAAATTACATCTTTTAAAATTTTATACTGATATGGATTGTAAATAGTTTCATATCCCGTTTGAAATGACCAATTGTAGATGAATTATTTAAATGGTCAAGATTCTATCATTAATTTTACGGTTGTAACTTTGTAAATACTCTGAAGAGGTGATTCGAACCGTTTTCTATCCTTGTCAACCGACATTAGGGATATGATTATTTATTTATGTATATTCCTTGTAGATAATTACGGATTTCATCATCATTCCATTTAGGAATAGTGTAAGTAGTGATTTGATTGCATCGATAAATTCATCATCAACAGTAGTATGTTATCATACCCAAAGCTTTATTAAATCGTACCGAACACTGTAACGTATAGATAACTAAGATTAGTTCAGATGTCTACTTTTTAGTTAGCTTGTGCAAATTTATGACATATTTCTTTGTATCCTAATCTTGTTTACACCATACACGAATAACGATCAACTAATTCACTTATTCACAAAATGTTAAATAATTGCTGTATGTTATTGTTTACATAAAAATCACGGAGCAATAGATAGCTTTTCCATTCTGGTACGGAAGTGTGCTTCCATAACCCCACCCGGGATCTAACATGGGACCTTCAGGTGTACCTGTGAGCTCCTAAACTTTACATGACTAAGTCAGAATCCAGTCGTTTGCATGTTTAACTCTAATTTATTTGTGTATTTACGGAGTTCTACAATAACAACGAGACAGATATCCAGTTCTTCCTGATTTTCAGTGATTGCCTAACTAAGATCAGCCCATGATGTAAACCATTACAAACAACAGTCTCAAGAAACTGCTTATAGCCAGTAGTATTCATTGTAATTGAGATTTTTGAAAAATCACAATTTCAACATTCTATACCCCTCGACCATTTTATCTTGATATCTAAATTGTTTTGTTTATTACTACAGTTTGATCGCCATATATTCATTCAAATTTGTATATTTTATTTAGACTGGGTAAAGTATTAAGTAATGTTGAATTAGCTCTATTCTAATAGGTTTTCCTTTAAACTGTTTGAGATGCTTTAACGCTCTCATCTATTAAATTTTATTTTCCTTACACAATCATTAAATATCCAGGACCTTCCACCAAAGACAAATTGACAGTTAGATTTTAAACTTATGAAACTATTCAACATATCTATCGTTGGTACATGGATGCGCATTCAGAAGCGATAAATTAGAAATTGTGTGAGATGGTTGTATTCATATGTCGTTGATAAGCTATGAACCTACCATTCATTATTTACGATCAATCACTTTTGGATTATTGACTACTAACTGCTATTAATCATTTTAAGAAGTATAGCTCGGAATCTATTCGCATGAGCTGTCTGACAATCGATGGTGAGTCCATGAACATATTTTTTCTAATACTTCAGTGGTACAGTGGAACTTGAAATACATTGATTGAAATACTACAGCAGGATTCGAAAAATCGTATGTTTCATTTAGAAAAAGCATTCCTCCAATGTTTTAAACACCGGTTTATTGCTTCTCATTCAGTTAGTCACACATTTTATTTTACAAGTAAGGCGTAAAATATCATTTTAATCAATTTACCTGCAGTGTATAGTAATTGGACCATCTTGTCCAAATTGTTCCTTGGTTTTATGTACTTGTCCAAGGAAATCAATAAATGCTTCGCAACTCTCAGGTACACCATGCTCAGGCCAATCTGTAAACTGAAATTGACGAAGCGTACGTGCTTGACCATCACGTGCATCTGTTAACTTAAATTCTCTCAGTGTGTAATTTGGCATATTATATTCAACCATAGGATCAACAACATAATACTGATATCTAGATGATCTTTCTGTTGGCCAGTAAGGATAACAGCATTCCTGTAAAATGAAAATACACAAGTTTACGTTATTGATGTGTTACATTATAACTTACGTACTTTAAAAAACTTGGTTGTAAAACCAAATGTCCTGAGTTCGATGCTCAGATGCGTAGTCGTGGATGCACGACGCTAGAGTCCCATACTAGGACGAAACCGTCATTCAGTGCTTTCAAGTGGTGGTCTAGCTAAGATCTATTAGTAATTTAGGTTGTGAAATTAACTGTCGATATGAACTACCAATAACTATGGTTAATTACTTGACTATAGTATCATTAATAATCAGTGGATATAGCTGGCTGTCGTCAATTTTGTGACTTACAAATATGCTAGTCCTTACAATTTACACGACAGAATAAACAAACAGCAATCAAACCGTTTAACAGGAAAACGTCTGAGCAAAACTCATTTGTTAAACAGAAGCTTTCATTATGCTAATAAGAAATGAAGATACATCGAGTTAGACGATTCATATTACAACTGATTATCTGATATACGATCAAATATTAAAGATAATTTTTCTAAACGAATTCATATACAAGCAACAGTGACTAGACTCGTGTTAGGTAATTCTTGACCGAACTCATTTTTACGGCAACTTCTCTTGATTATGACTGCAAACAGTTAAAACTATGTGGGTAGCTTACATGATCCAGCAAACATAATGCACTAAAGACTACATTTCAGACATTCAATAGGTAATTGAATAGTTCATTTTCATTATGTAACTAGTTATAATCAGTTTGAGCGTTTTAAGATGGTAATAAATATATTCAGAATGTAGGGCACTGTACGCTGGAATACGGCTGAATTAATTGTGTACCGATACACAAATTTTTGAAAGAACTGTTAATACGGCTAGCTAATGAGTATTTATAGAACTAGTAGCGAATAATACTTCCTGAAAGTATAATATTATAAATGGATTACTTTCCAACCAATGAACTCCAAACTAAGATGCAATGAAAAATAGCAACAACTTACTCGGCCTCGTTCATTCAGATTGGTTAACATTACAACAATGTTAGAATTCAATTCCCAAATCATTCTCCAGAAATCTTCCACTGTTTTTGCCATTGGGGCTTGAGTTGCGATATATGCTCTTCGATCGCGATAACTATCCACAAAATTAGCATTTATGTAGTCAGATCCTTCAACACCACGTATAGGTTGCAATGGGACACGAGTAGATTCATATGGTAATATATTCAATAGACGATTTTTATTCTTATTACAACCCTGTTGTGCTGAAGTGTATTTAGCATGTGGTAATCGAAACTGTGCCAATTTCTGAATTAAGAGTATTGGTAACAAGAAACAATTCAAACTTCATTACGAAACTGATGTATATATATATATATATATATATATATATATATATATATATATATATATATATATATATATATATATAGGACTATGATTATTAGAGAGAGTAGAAATATGAGATGACACCAATTTAGTTCTTACAAATTTTGATAGTATTTTTTTATAGATTTATACTATTTGAAATTCATTGAATGTAGATATACGCTCCATCTTACCGATTGCTTAGCAACTGAACATAACAATTGCAGTGGTCGTTCAAATGTTCCCATTTGTATAGGACTGCAATCGATCAGTCTCTTTTAGCATATATGCATCCTGTATGGAGTGTCTTGATGTTCCCACCAAGTAACAAGCACTATAAGAAAAGTTGTGTGGTGGCTAACAGTGGAATATGAGACACGCGGTTCATCCAACCTGGGATTCCTCAGCCGGATGTATTTGTATGTCAAAGTTGATATTCACTTCCGGACACGACTCAGATTTCGCTGCTAGGCAACATCTATCACTGTTTATAATCCTTGTGACTTAAGGAAATATCGAGGCAATCCACCACAGATGTACACATGCAAGAAACAAACTGATCAAATGCAATCCTAAAAATTAATGAAAAGATTCAAACAGCCAATACAAAAATAAATTAAAACTTCACTCCACTGCACAAGCTAATAGCCGTCAGGACTCAGTAGTTAAGTGTATAACGTGTTAGCATTTGAAGTGAACAGTACTGGGTTCGAGCCTCTGAGTGAACATCATCCAGTTGATGAGTTTCAAATAGGACGAAATGCACATCTAATATTCCACTATTTTGTTTGTTTAAAATGTTCTATTTAAAGTTTATTTAGTATGGCAGCATTTTATCGATAAACTTCAAAGTATAAAACGTTTGTTTCCTATAATTCATTATAACTGAAAAAACCTAATAACATTTTTCTCTAAACAAACATTACACCATACTATACACATTGTAAGTAGTAAGGAAAATGAAATGAAAATGTTTCCCTTCAAGTTACTTCATTTTTTTCATTGAATTCATTTCATTTATCAATAGGAAACAGTTTCCCCTCACCACTATTTCATCATCACAATATACAATTCGTGAAGAAAATATATTTTCAAATTTCGTGTTTATTTTCAATTAAGTGATATGTTTCTGTTGAATAAATCTTTAAGTAAATGTTTTGCAATATCATTAAGAAGAATCAATGTTAAGTAAGACTTATAGTCAGAATGAAATTTATCATCTACATATGTATTCAATAGAAATATTTCACTCAATAGATTCTTTTTTTTTAAGATAATTATGCATACTGTGCATATTGCCTCGATATAGCCTTAATTCACAAGTATTATACGCAAAGATGGATAGTGAATATCAGTGGAATCCAGGAAGCGCGTTTCGTCCCATTTGGGACTCGTCGGCTGGATGTGCCTTCGTCTCAAAATTGATGTTCAATCTGGGACTCAAACCCAGCAATATACCCAGTCTTTTATTGACTGACCGATTGCAGTCCTAATATCAATAGGAAGATTCAAACAGACAATATCAAGTGAATTCAAACTTCACACCATTGCACAAGCAAGTGGCTATCAGGACTCAGTAGCTAAGCGGATAACGTGATGGTGTTCGAAGTGAACGGCACTAGGTTCGAGTGTCAGGGTGAACATTAACTGTGAGATGCAGGTGCATTCAGTTGACGAGTCCCAAATAAGACGAAACTTGCGTCCTGGATTCCACTGCTAGCCACCAGCAATCCTTGCATATTAATTTTATTATTATCAGTTTGCTTATTTGGAAGATATGAATATTATATTAGGTGGCTGGATGTGGTCAGGATGAAACCTTGGATTTAGGTTATATGGTATTTGGTGCTCGTCAACTAGGTGTTGTTCTTTCCTTAATGAGATTATTTTTCTCTGTGATATTTAAACCTACGTCATGCAACTGAGACTGTAACTAATCTCTTGTTGGATTGAGATACATGTACAATTGGTTGATTACTGAGAAGTGAATAATATCATGTTTATCTTAGCTTTTCTAGTTCATCGGATTTTGTTGATAGAGCTTTAATGTATCCAATAGTTTGAGTGAATAGAGATTATGTAGACATGACTAGCACTAAGGCACCAGACAAACATGACCTGAATCAATATTAAATAACCCAGCAATTTTAAATAATGTATGCTTAGTAATATGAAGTTGACCTGATTTAGAAACTGATACCAGCTAAAACAGTATTGGATGTTCAGGGGTATTATTTCATTTAAATCTAAGAATTTTTCGAGATTCACATTTATAACATTACGCGGTATTGAACTGACGACCTGTGTGTTCCATATTGGAGATGACCAGTTAGCTGATTCATCTCTAAAAGCACTTATAGTCAAAGAAATCATACTTAATAAACATTAGCAGAAACTCGAAGTTGTTCAATAGCTAGAAGACAGTATGACCGAAGACATTTGTTTATTATTTTTAAAACAAATTGGTCCGTGAATAATACTGAATTACATAAATGTGAACTTGTTAAGTTATGAATGTAGCAAGGAGAAATGCACTTATTATGAACGTTTCAAATCACTCATGGAACGCTTTATAGCACGTGTTATGTTTAAAATGCTGTACGGATGAACTTCAAATGCATCAGGATAAAATCTTTTGGCTGACCTCAGTCGACAACAGATTCATTCATTGCTTATCTGACTAGTAAACATATAATACAATCCCCAAGGTTAGTTTTTCAACTACGTTTCTTTTTAAAAGCCTAGTTGAGCTATATTCGTTTGACTATAATATGCCTCACTGTAAAATGTCGAAAATTCATGAAACTGTGATTTCGACCTTGTACTATAATGATTGGAATGACCTCATTCATTGAACTTAATGGATCATCCCTTCGAATATTTTGTACATAGATTAACTTTGAAAATAAACCTAGTGACAAATTCTTAATGAAGTTCTATCACTTATTGTGATTTCATACAAATATTTACATAGAGAACATCTTTTAAAATTTCGAATAGCATGTTTTGAGAACTGTAATAAATAAATGATTTTTCTCTTACTCTCTAACTCAAAATCAATGGTCAAATGACTTGAAATTCGGTAAACTGGTTAATCATTTATCCATTTAAATATATGTCAATATATGAGGAATATCGTTTACATATTAAACATATTTCCCTAAAACCCTTTGGAAAACATTACATTTACGGATATTCAGAGTGCAAGTTACATAAGATATTTCTATGATGAGCAATCTCATTTAAGTTAAAAGATGAGCACAAAACTAATAAATGAACAATATGTTTTATTTGAAATAGCTTCTTTGAAGCCAAATCCAAATGATTACGTAACATAATTTACACAAATTGAGTAATCAAGTTGTTTGAGAAAATTTGGTTTTCCTAATATACTGTAGATTAAAACTAATATTAACTATCTTCATTGTTGGCAAAATAATCAATGCAACCTATCAGTCGGTGTTCTTGTAGCAATCATTTTTGCATTGACAGTCTGATATTGTTCAAGGTTAAATATTATGACGGGTAATTAATTAGTTGGGTTTTAAAGGTATACATCATCTTATAAATAACTAATTCCTGAAGTATTTAAGTAATATATTCTAACAATCTATGTTCATAATTGTAGTCATACTTTATACCTAATTGTTTCTGATGATAGAATTCGGAAATACTATGCGATTTGAGAATAACTGATATATATATATATATATATATATATATATATATATATATGCAGAGGGAGAGAGAATAATTCATTAGAGTGTTTAACAATTTCGTTTTTAGGACACTCAGGTTACACAGTAGCCTAGAACCTGATAAAGAATAACTATTCAGGAATAATGACTGTCAATATCTAATAAATGAGTAAATGGTACTTACTTATATGTAATAACGGATGGCTGCATTAATTAGTGATCAAGTGAAAATGTATTTAAGTGTCTATCGAATGTCTGTGATTTTGGGTGTTAACCAATGCTCCCTTTCAAACCTCATTACTATTCATATGTACCACCATAAACTATCCATAAATTTCATAATGTTAATAAAATTACCAACTGCAAGATATGAATACAATGCGAGGTATATGTAGATTGTGAAATCCAAAGACAGAAATACTTGAGATAATTTGTTTAAAGGTTAGATATTCACCGCCACACCTAAAGGTTCTATGTCCCATTTCATGATAAGTATTTGGTGTTGAATGCTGCTATTTGGATTTCGGTTGTTTATGAGCTAAATCCAGTAGACGATTTAAAATATCTTCATATAAGATAAAATTCAAATAATTAATTTTTAAAAAAACTATAAACTTACTTTAAATTCCAATTCCATACCTGATCCACCAGTTGCATCTAACATACGTAATTTTTTAATATGAGCAGATAAATTTCTAGCTGGTACCTCAGTATTTCCAGCATCAATTACTTCTAAAAGAGCTGAATGTATGAAAATGTATTGATCTTCTGTTTGAACCATAAAATTACGTTGTTTACGTAATGCTTTAACACAACCATAAATATCTACAGTTTTTTCATATTTCAATCTTTCTAGCATAATGTCAATTACAATGAATGCACCTGATTAGAAAGTATATTGTAAAAGAAATTATATAATATTGAATGAATAACAAATTTTAAATTAACTAAATATAGTTTTTACGATGTGATAAAGACAAGATCATATGAATCAATTGAAGCTAGACCGCCATGGAAAACGCGGAAGTACTGGATAGCCGTTTCATCCTGCTATAGGACTCCTCAGCAGTGTGCATCCATGATCCCGCCTCGCGAGATTCGAGCCCAGGACATATTGATCTCGCGCGCGATCGCTTAACCTCTAGACCGCTGAGCCGGCATCCAACGGTGTTAATGTCTGTCTACAACTAATCCAAAAAATTGAGCGACACATTCACTATTGTTTTCAGGAAGTTACTATCTCACAACAGATTTGGTTGAAATCCACTGGTCACTGCTTCTCACTAGAACTCCGAGAAATACCTCTTGAAGCCAGTCCCACCATAGGACGAAACGGCCGTCAAGTGCTTCTAGGTTTTCCATGGTGGTCTAGCCTTGATTAACTCATGATTTTAACTATTGAAATTACTATAATATCCATAAAACCCCTTCTGATATTTATATAATTGCCTTTTAAAATAAAGATGGGAAGTTATCAGTTAAATTCAGCACTTTTATTAATATATGATTCATTTATTTACTGAACACTGGTAAGAAGGATCAAAACAAGGGAAAAAATTTCCTTGGTGTTTCAAATATTTTATGGTATAGTCTGAGAATATTGACAGTGTTTTGCTTTATAGAATGAGTCTTGAGTAACAGCTTTGAAATGTTATCATAATGTATATAAAATGTAGACACGAAATATGTAATGTTTATAGGTGTTGATGACATTTATGTTATTGGCATGAAGAGAATGATTTTTAAGATAATATCTCTGATCGGTTGATTTGTTCATTAAGTTATACAACAGATCATCTTCATCAATTCACAATTTGTATGAATAGCCTTGATAAAAGTGAATCTTTTCAACCACGAATCAAGGAAATATATAGGAACTGACAAGTATTCATATACCAGTATAATGATAAGTACTAGTATAAAAATTAACACTGAGATGAAGCTATATCTAGTCTAAAAGTTCACCTAAATTAGCATCTTCGATTTCACTGCTATCTACAGTATCAAATAGTACAATTGCTCAATGCTAATGATAACTATCAAGATATTTGTTACGATTGTCATTATACAGTGTGATGAGACAATAAATCGTTCTCTCAGGGCTTCTATGATGGCTTATAAATTATCGTGTAAGAGAATTATTTATTTTCAGAATCAACAGATGTAGGCAATCCTCAAATGTTCAGCCTATAAATTGACTCATCATTTGTTCAGTTTCGACCTCCATAAAACATTTGATTTCAGTTTCCTAAGCAGCTTGGTTACTTTAATAATTAAGCCAAATAAGAAGATTAATTCGATCAGAAAACTTAACTACTCATTGATTCACGTTGTCTACTAAGCACAATGAACTAGTAGAATTTTTCTTTAAAAGCTTCAAATGATTTATGAACCTCAAGAAATAAAGAATTTTGTCTTTTATAGACCCGATCATAATTTAACAAGTTATAAAATACTTCGACATTTCATCCATTGGAATTTCGTGGATTTTGTGAGACGACTGTCTTTATGTATACAAATCAAACCAATGCAAAAGTTCATTATTTTAATGTACAATATTACGTAATTCACTTATTTATAAATACTGTGTTTTAACCATTGTGATATAACGAAAAAATATTATCGCTGGAGAGCCTGATGTTGACGTTATATAGGACGATTATTCACTCAAATACTTGGAAAAGTTATCTTTAACACTTCAGAAATGAATGTCTAAACGTTACATAGGAAGATTTAAACCAGTTAGATAATGAGTTATCTAAAAGCAAACGAGGGAAAGAAAGTAGGTAACTAGGATGGTATGAATAAGAGTAGGAACTGTAGTCGATCGATAATCCCTTTACAAAAACCATATTTTTCCTATATTCCTATTGGCTTCTCTGTTCTTGTAAGTGTATATATGTGTATATGTAAGTGCGTGAGTTTTTTCTATACTATGCTGACAGAGCTCACAAAACTTTATGCCTGTTTTTGTTATTATTATTTTTTTTATTATCATCTTGATATCCCGTGAGATTAAGCAGATCATTAGATACACAGAAATTTTGTTTAGGCTTTCGTATACTGAATGTAATAAATTACAATGAATATAGATAAACTTTCAAATTCATTATCTTCATTTATAGTACATTGCCTAGGTTTTTTTTTAATGAGAATACACATTTCCTTACATAATTACTCTTCATTTAACTATATTGATAATGTAAGCGCATAGTAAAATCCTTCTTATTTTGAAGTGATAAACATAGGGATATTGAGTTTTTATTTCTTATTCAGAATCTGTACGGCATTTGATTGTATTCTCGTGAGTCTAATTTTATACATACTAAATTGTATCGCTTATTCAGAAACTAGCCATGATTGAGGTTTGTAAAAAGGATTATTTTAGCAGTTTAAAATAAAACATTATGATCAAAGTTGGATAATGGCTAGCAGAGAAATCCAGGACGCAAGTTTCGTCTTATTTGGGACTCGTCAACTGAATGCACCTGCATCTCACAGTTAATGTTCACCCTGACACTCGAACCTAGTGCCGTTCACTTCGAACACCATCACGTTATCCGCTTAGCTACTGAGTCCTGATAGCCACTTGCTTGTGCAATGGTGTGAAGTTTGAATTCACTTGATATTGTCTGTTTGAATCTTCCTATTGATATTAGGACTGCAATCGATCAGTGTTTTATTGGCATTTGTGTATCGCGTGAGTATTGCCTCGATATTGACTTAATTCACAAGCATTATAATGAAAGTTTCATTTGATATTGGAATTGATAATCAAGTTCATATGTAGTGTAATGTATTGTTATCTTTGAATGAGAAAAAATGTATATGGATATATTTGATCTCATTAGAATATCATGCGCATTCGAATCCTAATTGAGAGGAGTTCAGTTATAGTTCATTTAATATCAGAATGGGTTTTGTGGATATTATAGTAATTTTAATGGTTGAGATCATGAGTCATTTGAAGCTAGACCACCATAGACCACCATGCTTCCAGATTTTCCATGGCGGTCTAGCTTCAAGTGACTCATGATCTCAACCATTGAAATTATATTTTATTGTGTTAATGTTCCCATAGTAAAGTCCATGAATTATTAAAAAATTAATGATTCTATACCTTTTAACATTGTTATTTTTAAGTATCATTTTAATGTAATATCAAAATCAACCAACTAAATAACTAACTAACCTGTTCTTCCTACGCCAGCAGAACAATGAACAACAATTGGTGCTTGTTCCACATTATGATTGGATTGAAACATATTATTTGTATTCGGTGCTAGTGTAGCCCGAACACGTCGAATAAATAATAATAATGGTATAGGATATTCAGGAACACCATGATCTGGCCATCCAGTAAATTGAAAGTGTTTAACTTCTCTACATTCATCTTCAATTCCACGAGCTGTCAAATGAAATGTACGTATAGTATAATAGGCTAGTTCAATGGTATCAACAGGTTTAACCAATAAGAGGCCACTTGCAAATGATTCTGGTCCACGTGATGGCCAATATTGATCACATTTAACACGAGAACGTTCTTCTAATCTAGTCATCATTACGATAATTGATACACGTTGTTCCCATATCATACGCCAAAAGTCGGAAAATGTCTCGGGGGTAGGACCCTTCAATGTTGAACAAAAAACGAACACAATTAAAATGTAAGGGAATGAAACTTAAAAAAGTACAATGTAACATAATATTGTTTGCAATAAATATAAGCTAATCCAGTATGTTTCACCGGAGAAACTAATAACCTGGTATGCATTAATATATAGATGACCTAGTAATTTATATTAGTTAAATGTAGTGGTCACCTGTTCTTTGTTGTACTATGGGAGTTTAAACATGCATTATTTGAAATCTACTTTCATTATTTGCCTTGGTTATACACATAATTTGTTACAACTATAAATTTATAAGATTTATGGTTATTATGTTGAAATAATGATAAGGCCAAATTAGGTACATGCAAGGGTTTGTTACTATTAAGATTAGTTCAATTATGATTATTTATATTCATAAATACATACACATGAATATATCTATATGTATAATTCTTTATGGGTAGTTTGTAATTATATTCAACATCAGATCCTAATTTCTAAAATAATCTGTTGATGGTAAAATTCAAATGATTTACTTCTATTACGAGAATAATTATTAAAACTATGTTTTATACACCCATAAATGTACTTTATCGATCATAGCTACTGCTTGACTTTACTAGATCGTTTTGTATAGAGTCCAAAACAATCAATATTATGCACATTAACGTAAGACAGAGTTCGGTGAAAAATCTTGGTGGGCGGCGTATGCTCCTACACTAGGGGTAATAGGCGTAAGTGGACAAGACAACACTGTGGAGGCATCTTCGATACTACAGCGTGCCTGAGAAGATAGTTAATATCATACAGAATTCCTATGATGGATTAAACTTCAAAATAGTGCATGGAGGACAATTGATAGACTTGTTCGAAGTAAAGACCGGTGTCAGTCAAGGTTGCTTACTCTCACCCTTTCTCTTTCCCTTAGTAATCGACTGGATCATAAAAACGTCAACATCTGGGGAGAAGCATGGGATGCAGTGGACATCTAGGATGTAGCTGGACGATCTAAGCTTTGCAGATGATCTGGCTGTTCTATCGCAAACGCAAAAACAAATGCAGGAGAAGACAACCAGTGTATCAGCAGTCTCAGCAGCGGTAGGTTTCAACATACACAGAAGGAAAAGCAAGATTCTCCGATACAACGCAGAATGCAACAATCGAATCACACTTGACGGAGAAGATTCGGGAGATGTAAAACTCTTTACATATCTGGGCACCATCATTGATGAACAGAGTGAATCTGATGCAGATGTGAAGGTGCGGGTCGGTAAGGCAAAAGAAGTATATCTACAATTGAAGAACATCTGGAACTCAAAAGAATTGGCAAACAACACCAAAGTCAGAATTTTCAATACAAACGTCAGGACAGTTCGACCTTATGGAGTGGAAACCCGGAGAACTAAGAAAGCCATCATCAAGAGAAGACATAAGTGTTTACTAACAGCTGCCTACGCTATCAGCACCAACATACTGTGGGAGAGAACAAATCAGATCCCAGCGAACGAAGAAATCAGGAAGAAGTGCTAGAAGTTTATAGAGTATACATTGAGGAAAGCAGAGAACTGAGCCACAAGGCAATCCTTAAGGCCAAAGGAAAAGAGGACGACCAAAGAACACATTACTCTGAGAAATGGCGACAGACATAAGAAGAATGAACAACAACTGGATAGAACTAGAAAGGAAGGCAAGAAGAGGTTTTTAATAATATGCTTAACTACTGTACGAACAAAGTCCTTGTTTGAATACTAAACGGAATTGACTAGTATGACGTGATCGAGTATCACTTCTTCAGAAGATATTTTCGAAAAAGATAAGACAGATACGCTTAGGTTTTATGCTTAAATGATTGGTTGGTTTAGGTCATTACAAATTTAATCTTTCAGGAAAAAAATCTATTTTTACCAGTTAATCAGATTAACCTACCTGAGTAGCAATATAAGCATTCATCCGTCTGTAACCATCGATATAATTTGCATTGATATAATCAGAACCAGGAACACAGTCGATTGATTGTAAAACAACTCTGGAGTGGTCATAAGCAATTACATTAGCATAACGATTTTTAGGTTTATTCACATCAAGATTAGAATTTTCCCATGTGAACTGTTGTTCAGTCTCGATAGATTCATATTCTTGTGAAAATAATAAATTGTCTGCAGCCGAAAGTCGTGCAACGTGGTCTGGTAGAAGATTAACAGGAATTGGGTGATGCATTGAATGACCTGGGTTTATTTTTTAACCAGTGTAAACAATAAAAACAAAGGTCAACATAAACTAGTGAAAATTTTCTAAATATACTGATTCAAAAGTAATCTAATCAAATATTTACGTCAATTTATAGATGGAGGTACAGTTTTCCATATAGGAGAGCAACATTCAGAAAATAGTTTGTTCTGTTAAACGCAAGGACTTTTTAGCTCGTATTTTGCTTAGGTATTAGATACATGATATACTTAGACTCACTTACTCGTTAGCTTCAGTCAAATATTTTTGTTCCATGAAAAAAATAAGAAGTATGTAAGAATCTTGTTTTAGTTCTGAACACTAAAGTACAATACAAGCTCGTCTTAATGAAGTATCAACTCCAAAACATTGCTATTTTATTGTCATTTAAGTATTATTATTATTACGATTTACATTCACAATATGATGCGATGATTCATCAGTGTAGTCTAGTATTAGCCTAGAGGCAAGCAACTAATAAACATAAGTTCATTTTTTAATATACCAGTTCTAATTTGATCTGTCTGTTAATGAAGTATACTCTCAGTCTTATACGCTACATAAAGAAATGAACATGTAGTCCAGGTGATAAAATCAATTCGTCTCTACAAACACAAATATGAACTCACCATCCAGGACATAGTATGATTTATGAAAACTATTATATTTAAAACTATACTTCATTGTAGGCTGACATTTAGAGAACGTTTTTTATCTTATTTAAAGCAACAGTCAGATAATGGATTCAATGGTGAAGATTTGTAGCTCAGGTGAATGATATTGATGGAGTTTTGTTCTCTGAGCTGGATAGTTTGATCGTGGAGCTTTCATCGTTCTTCTGAACGACATCATCAGCACAAACTTCAGATAGAAGTTTGGAGAAGGATTTCATTCTATCAGTTAGTCTGTCCTACATTGAATTGTTTATAGTTGGCTTCTCTTAGTAACTAGATGCTTGTACTGAAATTATTAATACGGATTATGCTAGAACATTCAGCATTCATCGATTAAATAAACGGAACAAATGAACGAAACTGTTGGGTATAGCAATTTTTTTAAATTGAAAACGTTGCGGATATCCTCAGTCCATTTTTTTATTGTATACTTATTTGCTTTCATGTCACATCAATCCAAATTGTTTTGAGCACCATACTACGCAATATAATGAAGTGGTAGGATCACTGATATGAAGAAAGCAGTGTTCCTTTCATGCTGGTGTCTTCATTTTTAATATATATCTTAAAGATTTCCCTATTATAACTATTTATCTCGTTAAATTGAATGTTATTATTTACCTTTCATTTCAAATGGTAAGTGCGGCATGTCGAATGCGGATTCGGGTCCACTTTCAGAACCTGGTAAACCATTTCTTGCAATTATTAAGCCGTCACATATTGTAGCAGCATTATTTTCACTAACACAATTATTATTTATTCCCATTACATTGTATGCTGCACCTGTTCCACTGCCAGTTAAAGAACTTGGATGACTTCCTGTATGACTGCTTGAAGTTCCACCTCGATGTGAAATAAAAGGATTCATTGGTTGTTGAATTGCCGGTGGAGTATTGAGATTTGTCAAACCAAGGGAATAACCATGGTGTATCGACATATCGATTATTGGAGAAGGAGCCTGAGTAACATGATGCCTTGGATCCAATTGTGCAATGCCTGTAAGTGGGCTTGATGTTGCCGATGTGATCAGATTTGGTCTACCTGTAGCTGATATTGACGAAATTAATGAGGATTGTGGCGGCCCTGGTGAAGAGGCAGCGATAAGAGTTGCACTTTTTAAGCTATCATTACCAACAACCGAACTACCACGTTTATCGACAGAGGATGTAAAATTAGTATTTATTACTTCTATTCCACTTGTGATTAAGGGGAAACTGTTTCCATTAGCTGGGCCACAGTCGTTCATTCGCATCAGTGGTTGTTTCATTGTTGAATCATTTGGAGTTAAATGGTTAATTAGTTTCGGACGACGTTTACGACTTTAATTAAAACAGGAAGAAATGCTAATTAAATGGAATCTAATAAACCCAAATGTTTTATTCATTATACAATTAGACCTTACGATTTAATATAATAGCTGATTCCATGAGGAATACAGCGGTGCTCAAACATTAAAATTCATCCAGTTAAGTTTATTTTTTCACAACTTCTACATACTACAGACCTTACCACTAATAATGATGTTTGGTTGGTTACATTTTATTAACAGTTGCAACAATATAATAAAAACTGTATACTTTAGCTCGTTTACTGAGTACAAATATATGTAATCTGATTTAACTTAAAATATCTTGGTGGAAAATAGTGATATTCTCCGTGTGAACAGAAGAAAGTGGAATGTAGTCTCAGTCCTGTGAAACACTATTTGAAAGCAAAGTACTTATCTACTAAACAATGTTTTAGTTTACATCATGGGTTGATTTAGTTAAAAAGCCGTTGAAGTTCAGTAAACATTTTCATCTTAGTATATGTTTCTTCCACAGTATGCAACCAAGATCTCACCTAGGACAGAACCGAAGACCTTCTAGACTCAAGGTGAGGGCTTACACCATAGACCACTTAGTAGGTATCTAACGTTTTACACGTCTAAATTCAATCAGTTCATGATACCACACGCTGGTGAGGAGTGCTATACATGGACAAAACAGTTGTCCAGTGCTACATGTTTTCTATTGGTTTTATTATTAAGATCATTCCATGATATAAACTATGAAACTGAACGGTCTCCACAACATCCTATCAGACTAAACAATTCCTTCACAAAAAAATTTGAATAATAATGATAATTTTATGTAGACAAGACTGATATTCTTACCGTATAAAACATCCAAATGCAATGCATATCACGGCAATCAATGCCAAACTAACGATTACAGCAACTAGTCCAATAATAAATAGATCTCTGTTTGATCCGGTGAAACCACGTGTTAGGCTAAATCCTAGTGAATTACTATTCCTATTATCAGATGCATCTAAATTATTTTTATTTCTGAATTCGCTATCTCTTAAATGCTTATTCATCATTTCGCTCCATGGTGGAAGATGGCGATCTGGTCCGAAACCATGAGACCATGCAGATGATGTACATGCTTCTGGGCCATCAGAAGTAGACTGATCTTCTTGAAATACACAGGCTCTAACAAATGCCTATAAAAAGAGTAAAAAATAAATAAACAATAAATTTAACTTTATAAAGAAAATTATTACTTTGCAGGAGATAATTGGTGCGCTTGCTTCCAATTTACTGTATTTTGAAGATGGTTAGGAGCTTGTGAATGACATTTTATTATCAGAAATCACTAACATAACATTTACATTGCTTGTAGAACTATGCAACCAATCGGGGGTTCTTATACTTTAAAACACATCGTTTTCATAAATCTAGTTTATTTCAAACGATACAGTAAGCATAGTTAGTTTACTCTAAACTATCACGAAGGCCGTTTGTTTGTATTTAGAAATCAATGGGCTTGAATTATTTACCTGTAACTAAGGTCATTCGTGGTAACATCTTTGAATTGAACAATGAACAAATGTTTTCAGAAGTTGTTGGTGTGCCCTGTTAGTAAGTACTAGTTAGTACAAAACATACGTAAGGCGTATCTTATGGATTGATTTCAACCACTTAATATTCATATATTGAGAATTCGTTATACATATGTAGCAAATACCTAACACTTAGCACTACGGAACACTGCAGGTTGTTTTGAACTTGTTATCAGAATGGAAACTTTCGTGGATGTAAGTTGCTTGATTTTTAATTTAAGTTTGATAAACAAATTTTATATAGTAAAGTGTATCAATTCAAAACGTTTCGGATGTTAACGAATAAAGAAGATGGAATATTAGAAAATTCTAGCAATCAATACAAAGTAACAAAATTTTGAGCCATGTTCCTTTTTAATACTACGATAGCTCGGTATTCTGGTTGACATAAAATCCAAGTATTGAAATGCGAACATTATCTAACCAGCTTTTAATAAATACAGAAGAAATATAAACAAACTATCAAAGGATCATTACATCTACATTGCAAAACAGGGAACAAATAGTCCAATTCAAGATTTTATTATTCATTCCTTATAGAGAAAGGTACTATATATATCAAGATATCTGAAAACCAAATGTATATTCGTTAATACGAAAGCATTCTTTATTTTTAAAGCGAATGATAATTTGAAGCACTCACTTAAGACAGTAATCAATGTAATTTAAAATCTACTTTATTGTCGTTGTGTCAGGCCTTGAATATATAATTAATTAGTTGAGATAAATATTTGTTTTTGACAGCTTTGAGTATACATCAAAGAGTTAAGGTATTAGTAATTTAAAGTGAGTATGAATCAGCATGTACTGTGTTTGGTTACTGATTTCAATATCAACACTGGAATACAAGTTCAACTGGTTGACAAGTCCATAGAAAGCCAAAACAAACGTTCTAAATTCTACTACTAAATTCTGGCTAAAAATTATACTGTGGTTTCTGCTTAATAATCCTGTGTACTAGTAAAAACTGATGAAATTTTCAATATCAGCAATGAAGAAATGTTAAATCATAGAAACGGTAATCCCTAATATACATTTAAGCAAAAGTCAATAAACAATGAGTGTTATAATAGTTATTCTAGAAAAAGTAAAATTATATTAAATTTTCAATACATACTTTGTATTCTTGTCCAAGAACTAAAGCTTTATTGTCAAACATTATTTCTGAATCTTGTTCATGCAGAAATTCATCATCCGTTGCCACAGTCTGACGTCGAATTCTACTTGAATTAACATGTCTTTGAGGTCGATTTGTTTTTACATTATAACTACCAAGAGTAAAGTTTCTAGAATGTCTTGGCGGGGGATCAAAATAATCTTGCAGATAACGAGCTGCAACATAACGTGTTTCTGAGCTTGGAAGACCTCTAGATGCTGTAATTGTCTATGAAGTCATGAAAAATAAATCCAAAGTAGTATATTAATCAAATACCTTTGATGAATCATATTCTTCAGTGACATATTTAGATTATTAATTAGAGTAGTGAATACAAATGTGTAAATAGTACTAATGTAAATGTTGTGCTTTGATTTTTCAGATTTGGAAAAGGTAGCAATCATTATTGTTCCTCATTGGAAATAGGTTTATCAGAATTACATGCAACGTTATATCAAGTACAATACTTATTTCTATCAAGTTAATCAGTATTACATTGAATCTGTTAAACTGAGTGGTAAATTGAATATGAAAATTAAAACCTCTAGTTCATTGTATCTTATGTAAGGGAACATGATTTACAAAATCAAATAGAATTAATTCCAGGTTAGACATAGTAATGATCTAAATTAACTTGATTAAAAGGAATAAGTATGAGAAAGAATTATTTATTGCTCACTTTATTCACAAACTGGCATCACCAGTTAATAGTTACGAGCCTTTAGCCATACTTTATCTACTTCAATTTATTCATCATGTTAGTATCAAAACCTTACACAAAAAGAATGCAGCTTGATGTCGAATACATGAAATGGTACATAGTTTAGATTAGATGTTATAATCGTTGAAGAACGGAAAGAATTCAAAATCTGATTCATCTAACCAGAGAACTATGTTATTGTATTCAGTGATAGGTCTCCATCCAGATACATGGATTGCAGGATCTTCTCTCAAAACATTTAGTGATGTATAACTTAGAATGTATCATTCAGTTCATCGTCAGTTGTGAACTTTTGAATATGCTAATAATCTCAATTAAATCATAATCACATTTTACCTCTGAATAAATGTTTACTTGATCATTCTACTTAGTCATACTGATTCAGCTGGTTTGTATTAGTCCTTTGCAATGAGGAATACATATTCCATCTAGTTGATCAAATAATCTTCTCTTTGTTAGACTGTTTTACATTCTTCGTAGTAGTCATTTCCATGCAGTTCGCTTTTATTCTGATTCGATTTTGTGTATTCGAATTCAAATGCGTATATATTTTAATGCTGTAGTGTTATTGAGATAAGCACTTCAATATGTAGACAGGAAAATACTTTCAATATTGATACTAATAAGTATATATAATTCAAAATCAAACACGTATGCAATCCTACTTCACGTCCAAAGTTTCTATCGGATTATTCTAACTGATGATGATGATGATCCAGGAAATACGGTCTAGGTAGTGATAAGTTTGGCTAACTTTTCATTTTAATTAGATGTGGTTACTTATGATGTTTTACACAAGTTTAGATATATCTAAAACCATAAGGAGAATATTTCTTTTACTTTGCCCTAATTAAACTAAACATAGTAGCTTAACTATAAGATTAATTGGTTACATTATCATTTTCCCTCGGTACTTATAATCCATTGTATAATCGAAAAACAAAATTAATATCACTGAACTGATCACTTCAAACGATTGTACAAATTTTTTTTTATTTTCAACATAACATTTATCAATATTTTTTTAAAAGAAATGAATGAACGAATAAAACTATACGCTGCATATGATTTGATTACCCTGGCAACAACAAAAATGAATCGAAATAAATGGGGTTATTTTTTTTCAAAATGACTTGCATTTTTTTGTTTTTGACAAGATTTAATTCGACAAAATTCTGATTATTTCTCTTAATTTTGTAATTTTGTCTATTAAACTTACATAATGAATGAATAAAAATATTTGCACACGAATATGTCGGCTAATCGTAAAACTTTTTTTCAAAAATAAAAATGGTCAACAATGAATGAAAACACCACAATTTTGTCTAGAGCCTATCAGGACATCCTATTATTAGTAATATTATTATAAACTAGTTTGTTATATTGTCAATTTTCTCTCATATAATCATTTCAATAATGTATACTTTATTAAATATTGTACAAATGACAACCTTTTTATAAACCCAAAGAGGACAGGAATAGACAAAACACATTTTTTTTTAAAAAGTGAGTTTTTCCAATATTTTTTTTAAAACTCCAAATTGTTCCCATTGTATATATTTAAATGTTTATTTGTTTTGTTTTTTGTTTTCTTTTGTTTTTTCGATTTCGACAAAATTCAACTTTTATCATTCATCCTGTCTCATTTATTTAATAGTGAATTTTTGTGATATTTAACATATTCCAATGGTAATTACAGAAAAAAACTGTCTCAGTTAACATTGTTACAGTATTGTCATTCTAATTGTGTGTACATATCAAACTGTGTTAAATTTTTTAGTGGAAAGATGTGGATACACCAAGCTTATATAAATATATATATATATATATATATATATATATATATATATATATATTAAGAACAGTGAAGAAGGTGAACGTTGACTTAAATATTTGTCCCCTAGTCACGTGTACACTATTGAAAAATATAGATAAAATATTAATGTACGAAATTGATGGTAGCATATGATTTAACGGGGGGGGCGGATGTGATGTATGCTACTTATGTCGATAGTTATAAGTGGGATGTAACACTAACCTGAAGTGGCAAACCTAGCAGCAGAGGGCTATGAAGGTTGACTTGAAGAAAAAAGAAACGGATTAAGAAAGGAATTGCGATTCGGAAGAACCATACAGGATGTATGAAACAAATGACGGAAATGAAGTATGTCATGTATGATCTTCATATTTTATCAAAATTTTCTGTAATTTTGTACTAAAATACATTAGATCGTCCTCACCTGTGTTTTCTTTCATTAGTCTAATAGTATTACTGCTATTACGACTGTAATTACTACTGTTTCTCAGCTGATTAATATACTTTTCAGATTGGGAAACAATGCTTATTCTACAGACCGATATGATTGATTAGTGAATAATATCTAAATTGAATTGTAAATGAACAAGGCTTTAAATGAATTTGTTAACTAATCATCACCCTTACTTAATTTTTAGCAGTAAAGTTAACAGTTAAACGAAGTTGTCAATAAATTAGTTCCAATAGCAATAAGAATAGGTCTGCATACATACACGGACATGCAAAATATGTATACCCATGTAACTATATGTAACCATACATGTAAACATTTCTAAGTATATAATAGAGAGTAATTGACATAGAAAATTATCAGAGAATATAATCTTGAATGAATATGAATGTACATACAAACACAATACCAACATTCAAACAAAACTTGTTTATAAGAAAATGAAATACACAACGATTAATCTTCATAAACCCCTTTTTAAATCTGTAAAATGTTTTAAAAGATATCTTTCTATATCAGCTTATAAAACTTATATTATGGTAGCTGAAATATTTAAATTATCCTTGAAATGTCTAATAAACTACAAATCATTTAAATATTAATTTTGTTTACTGTCATTGTTTGATTTTGCTGCGTTTGTATCCATGTATTTTAATATTCTAATGGTTTAAACACACTCTGAAGTGAGTTAAAGATTTATAATCATGAATGTAACTCAAATTCTAACAATGTTCATTTGGAATGTGGTTAAAAAAAACAACACACTACAGTTGGATGGATTTTGGTTTGGTTTATAGGTTATACTCATCACATATTGATTACAGCTGAGGTACTATTAAAAGTATGAACGTAATAGAAAGCTTCTTACTCCTAGTATGACAATTCATAGAAATTTACATACACTGTCCGTAGAGGGATTAGATCCAGGACTATCAGACTGCTCAGCGTATGCACAAATGTGTATTTAATCAATTTGTGATACAGCGCACTGGTGAGGAGTTTCCTACAAAACTAAGTAGCTGCGCAGTGTTTTTTAGTTTTCAATAGTATCTCAATTGAGCTCAACCCACAGTGAGTACACTTTACAAAATACAACTCAGTAGCAGTAAATTGAACTGTTTATTCATGATAATGAACAACCACATAAGATGAGTGTTTTGTTTTAATATGGATTGTATCCTTGTTTTGCTCATCTTATACCTTAAGTAATCTTATTTAAAATTCCGCTTAATTCAAGACACATTGTAAAAGTTTCCGTTAAATTACATTTAGTAATGTTTAATTCATAATAAATAATGATTGAATTCATTTGGATTATCGAAAGTAATATTTCTTCATTCATTAGCAAAGTTAAACTGAAACGTAAATTTAATAAGAAATGGATTGATGTTTTCTAAGTAATCAGGACAATATCTTACGGCTACATACAAAACCCACTTGTTTATCAGATTACAATTTCAGTAATTTTAAACTGAATTAGTGTATTTTATAAATGAAAGACTTATGACAATCTGTTATTTACCGATGATAGCTTTCCATATACCTTAATTTGTTCCGGCACGATTTCACGTGATTACAATTGTTAGCTTTTTAAATTTTCTAGTAAACTACTTAATTTAACATACAAGTAGTAAAATTTGTCATTTTATTATAATAAATGGAAAAAATAAAAGTGAACTTAACTCAAAATAGTTTTCTGTGCGTCAAATACGCTGGATAATTTAGAATTTTTCAAAGAAATGAACTAATTAAGACAGTGATGGAGTATAATATATTTCTTAATTTCAATAAGAGTGAATTATTAGTTACGGAAACAAAAAGTTTTGATGAATATTTTATGGAAACGCCATAGAACACGTAATCAATTTAGTGTGAACTTCTATTTTATTAAAAATTATTGAAATATAACGCTGATGATTTCTAAGTGAACTAGAAAATCTTTTAATACTAAGATTGATATTAAGCATTTGATACTTTGTAAATTACTTCATATTATGTATTGCTTGAACAGGAGCTACATGACTGATCTACCATCTGATTACATCATAAACGAAAAAAATCTTTTTGGTTATCCTAAGTATCTCTTGTAAAAATAACATAAATTGTTCGGTAACGAAGAGAGATTTAATATTTCCGTTTACGGCGTAACGATGAAAAACATGTATAATGATACAAGTTATATCGAAGCATGATTTTACTGACATACTTTATCGACTATTAAACAATAAAATCAATAAAATTCTCATGAATAATTCTTTTCCTTTTTTTGTAAAAAGAGGTATATGTCTTTGTGTAGTACCGTTTAGGTGAAAACATGTGATATATGCAACAAATGTTCTGAGCGCTGAGATGAGTTGTTACATGTCAAGAGATATTATGAACTCTAATTTCAATGGTAAGCCTATCACTCTCTAAATAGGGTGGTTCTTCTCATATTATGAGATTATGGACATATCACAGAAATGATTTGGACAAGATCAACCACTAGAAAGTTATCTCATTTATTCCTATTAGTACTTACTTATTATGCCTTGAGTATTTGAGAAAATTGTTGGAATTTTGGCTAAGATATTAGCGAAAACCATAGACACGGAAAATTCTTTATATAAGAAAAAATCTTTTAATGGATGTATAGCAATTATCCTACAACCAATTTCAACTATGGCTAATTTTGGTTAAGCTCTTTTATCAGCTTACTTAACAGAAAATGTTATTCGAATAGTAACAATTCGCATATTTCTTTGTACTGTTATGATCACTAGATTACATGACAGACTCTAGTTAAAATGTTGATTGCTTAAATATCATTTGATGATTCATCCTCCTCCCCATGTATGTATGTATTTAAATCCTATTATTAGTCCTTGCTTTGCCTTGCTGCGCCCTTATGCAATTCGGCTATAAATTTGTCTATGTAATTGCTTTTATATACTTATTTGCCTCTTCGCTTCAAATATACTAGATGTGCTTATAGCTTTGTGGGCGAGACTACAATTTATGGACGAACCAATCACGTGTAAGATAACAGGTCTCGGATTTGGGCGCGAAATTCACTCATTTATTCGAATAAAGAGTTTTGGCATTATAGCTGATGTCAGTTCGTGATGAAAAGCCTAAATCTAATTTCTAGCTTTAGTCATCAACTGTAAATCATAATTTCTAATTTCTCACGCAGGTTTATAACCCTCATTTGATCCTGGTTATTAGGTGGACACTCTCAAGGTCAGTCTGGAGTCGCTCAAAAGTCGTCCATAAATTATAGTCACCAGTTTTGTGATCTGCGCTATTCTCTAATAAATTGTAGTTGCCGCTTCTCATTGCCTTCTGATTTTAAACACCATTGAGAATTGATAATAATAAGGGTTATCGAGGTGATCGATTAACGAAGCAAAGTCACTACAGATGAGATTGTATTGTGAAATAGATTAAGATTGTTTTATCTATTCATAATAATAATAGTGCACAACTCAGATTTTGTTGAATTTATATTTTTCGTTTCGGTTAATGATAAATTTTCATATTCCATTTAAACAGTAGTCTGACTCATTGTTGTTCTTGTGTTCTTTTATTTTGTTGTTGATGAAATAACAAGTAAATTCGTTAGCTTAACAAAATGCTGAGTCATATAAATTCAATTCCAGTGAAAAAAGCATCTTTCAATTTTCAATAATTTCACAAAATATACATCTATCTTATTTCTTGTTTCTTTTTTCCAAGTTTATTTTTTTCATTAAAAACATATTAACATACATATGAAATTCGTTCATTGAAGTTTAATAACAGAAGTTAGGAATCTGTGATTATTTGAAATGGTATTGCTATGACATTATAAGCAGAGAGGAATGGTGGATAGCAGTGGAAACTAGGACGTGCATTTCGTCTTATTTTAGATTCGTCAGACGGATGTACCTGAATTTTAGAGTCACAGAGTGAAAATCAGATACTAGATTTAGGTATATCCAATTGATGAGTCTCAAATAGGACGAAATGAACATCCTAGATTGTACTACTATCTACCACTTATCTCTGCTTAAAATGCACTGTTTCTGTCTAAGTTTTCTAGCATTAATTATCTCAGTAATCTATAGTTTTTTTATAATTAAGCACAAGCATATTCAGATAATATTCATCATTTTTCAGTTTGAAAACCCTAGAATATTTAGCATCGCTGGAAAACTAGGTGACCCAAACATTTAAGCATACTGCTATGCACATCGTACTTCCTATGCATCAACGTTTGTTAATTTCAACATTGTAGTTAGTAAGTTTTTCCATAGATCAGTTCTAACATATTTTTACTAGTTCCTTCAGATAATTCGTATTTAATGTCCATCAAACATTAAATAATGTTATCAATAAGCTCGAAATCTGAGCCTATAAACTTCTATTGATTATATACTCCTATCTAAATACTAAGAACAGTACAGTGAAATGGCAAAGATCCTAGTTGATGGAATTCCATCATGACTATCGATCATAAAATATTTTAACTACGCATTTACTAATTTATTAAACCTTTTATAGTTTAATACAAAATAACTGCGCTAGGTTGTTTTACACTCAATGTTAAAACACCAATTGAATACTTGTTCAACAGTGAAGGAATCATGGACTATAATCTATTTTCTACAAAAAAATTTAGGATTTTACGAAATACAGAAAAGGTTTGCACTAGTCAAACAGAAAGTATTTATTTGATATTTATATCAAGCTATTTAAAAGAATAGGGATTTCAGCTAAATTCATTCATTATTGAATAAATATATATCAACATTAAGTTACTGCAAGGGGCGTGACGTTTTACAGCACCTAATAAACCACCATATATATATATATATATATATATATATATATATATATATATATATATATATATATATATATATGGGTGGACACAGACTGAATAAAAGATACTCTCATTACGACTGAATAATTTAGTCCTATTTTGGGACGTTTTGCTTAAATAGCATGTAATAGATAATCCAGTTTAAAAGAAAAAAACCCTAATAATCAAAGGCATATTATAATCTCTGTTAACTAAATCTATTCATTGCTTTTTTTCCTGTATATGAGATCTATATACTTAAAACTAAGTATCATGCTACTTTTCACCAAATTAATAATAAACTACACGTAAGAAAGGAAAACATTTGAAATAATAAATAATATAAAACAGTATTTTTTACTTACTGTGTCTATACTTATCTTTTCTGTTGAACTATCAGCTAAATGAACAGGAGCAACAACTAGGAAATATTGTCGTATTTTTCCATATTGTTCACTAACACGACTTAATTGAAGTAAAACTTGTAATCGACTTGGTGATACAGCAACCGGTATTGGCGTTGGTACAAATGGTGGACCTGTAGATCAAAAACATTAATCACATAATTTCTGACAGGGTATATGACAAATAAAAAATCTTGTGTGAACTCAGCTTCATATTCGTTGAAAGAAAATGAAAAATAATATGTGATCATTATAATATAAAATTAAAATTGTATGTTGTAATCTTCAGCGACTTCCTTCAAGAAAGGTTTAAATTTCTACTGAAAAATAATGGGTGGAATTCACGTATATCAGTAATGTCGTACGTGCATGCATGTAAAATTGATTAACTCAATAGAAGTTAGAAATGTGAACCAGACGTTAGTAATTCAGTAGTCTAGAAGAAACTTTTAGATCTTAAATCCGATCCGTGTTAGGGTTATAGATGTGCACGCTTATAACCCTCATACGAAGAAGGAAAATTATCCAGCAGTCCTTGTATTTTAGTGTTTCTTCTGTTAGTATTAGTCTGTGAGGAAAATCGTGTTAGAAAATCTTTATGTCTAGACTAGAAGGAAAGTTTGGTGAATGTTAGGAATAGCAGTTTACATACTTAAAAATAATTTTATTATTGTGAAGTTAACAGGATTAAAATACATTCTTTAAATATTTAATTTTAGTCTATATCTGTGGTCTTAGATAACTATGGTGTGTCGAATAACTTCAATTAAATGAAAATTGATGTCAATAGACTAGTTTATGATTAATGATCTTGTAAAGGATTTGTCATAGTTAACAGTTTATGACCGATTGACCAATCTGAGGTCAGTTTTTCCAACTAATCGACAAGGTTCGAAAGATCTTCGAATAACAGCCAAATACTAAGGAAGTTACTTTATCTTAGTCTAAGCATTAAATCCTTTGCCCAGTTTTAGTAATTCGCTATGCTTAAATCTATTTATATTCGGTAATTGTGAATTTATTTTCTTTAAGAAAATCAAATAGAACTGGTATTTTCAATTCTAATTAGTGAAATTTTCGTAAATCTAGTCCTTTTTTAATGTCTCCCTTACAGTGGGAGATTTTTAAAAATATGCTGGAATATTATAAAACATTATAATTAAATAAAATTAATATTTTTCATATAAGTAACTGTCACTATCCGGGCGGCCTACATGAATATCTGGGCTACCTACTCCTGCCATCTACATATTTAAACAAGTTATCTGTTTCCTTCTTTGTTTTAACATATCATTATTTCAATTAATCGCACCATCTATCCAGGTGCGTTTCTGAAAAGTGTACAACCTTTCGTTGTACAAGTTATAAAAGGCCTAATCAGAGATATCGTGATTACTGGCAATATGCGGCGAAAATAATGTACATTATTTAGATGTCGATTGACTGGACTGATAACTTCAAATTGGCGATCACTCATTATATATCGTCAATATCGATCAAGAAATAAGAAACGGGAACTCGATGAAATACTTCGTGCTGAGAATTATACGTTTTATCAAAAATATAATATTGAATAAAGCTAATAATAATAATAATAATAATAACGTAACGTCTTATGAAGTATACAGAAAAAACAAAAATGTGATTACAATTAAAAATATTTGATTTCATCCTTCTATTAAACTCAAACATAGAAATAAATAAATTCATACAAATAACAATAACATAATATCAAGATTAGTTTTGGTCATGAAAGCTATGGTTTATATCACTACGTTCAGTCAAACAAGATGGCGACCTCACTTCTACAATGAGGACTTCATTAGACTTTACTTAATAACAGGACTTGTCTAGTTTGTCTTGAAGTTAGTCCCATATAAGAAAATGACTATCATTTGATCAAATAAATTTTTTGTATAGCAGTCCAATTTTAGGATGGTTATTTTGTGGACAGTTATCACTTGCAAAAATGTTGTATTTTCAGAGCCACATTTCCTGGAGCGATGCCATCCATCTTATGCTTCATGAGTCACCGGCAATGTTCTGAATTTTTTTATTTCTATTATATTTGTTCAATCATATTGATTGACTACTTTCTATTCCTCTCATATTCGTTTATTTTTTTTTAAGTTTTGACCACTGGGTTTTGCTTTTGTTGTCCAATTTGTCTCAGCTTTTCATCAATCTTTTCTCTAGTCTCTACATCATCTTGGATCCCTTGAATTGGAGAATTTTCTGGTAGAAAACTTTAGAACTAAACCCTGTTAATTTATTACACCCATTTTATTCGTATTTATAGAATCCTATTTATAACACGGTGGATTCATTTTAAGACGCTTTAAACACATTTCTTACATTTGAGACAATTTCATTTTGGATCCACAGTGAATAAACATTAGTTTATAATATTAACGCCCTAAATATCAGCTAATCATTTCTATTGGACGTATTTAACACAAAGAAAGTGGATTTTAACTTTTGATAAAAAAAACTGCCTATACAAGTTATAGTCAATAGAAAATTTCATTTGTTCACCTATATTTTCATTTACTTTCAAAAATTTAAACTTACGTTGCATTTGAGTAAAACAACTTGTGGTTTCCCAATTACTTTGCATATTCAATGTTAAATCATAATATGCACTTAACTGTACATCATAAACACTATTCGGTTCCAGATCACTAACTGTATACGTATAACCAGAATGTAATGCAGCATATGTTACACTGACACTACGAGCTGGAAATTCCAAACGTTTAATTACACCAGCATCATCGGCGAATTTCTTGGAGCCACCAATACGCAACTGTAAATTTTCGTAATGAAAATATATACAAATAGTATTACGTGTTCATTTACATTCACTATATAAAACTTGTGAATTTTAAATTTTATGGTGGTTTTCAATTTGACAATGTTTGCAAGCACTATTAAATCGCTATATTATTTAGAGATATCTTAAATACTCTTAGGTATTTGTCAGCAAGCCGTACAGTGAATCTTAGGTTGAATCGATGGACCTGATGTGTTTCAAATCTGCATCATCTAGCGTTATAGTTAGAGTTGAATGCCAACATGGATAAAACTCGGGTTCGCGTTATCTATAAAATTTGATGAGCACAGAGGACTTAGACAAACATGACATTACTTATTACTTAGTAATCGCTTACTCTCAACTTATTACAATTAGTCATATACTATCTTCAATCCGAGGTTTATTTTCATATTTTTTCTTAAATAAATGGCGAATGATGTGTATATATTGATTTACAGGTAGGCATTACTAAAGAGCATCGACCTGATATGAAACAGATTTCTTATATAATCATGTATTCAATATAATGTGTTTTTAAGTATATTTATCACTGCGTTAATTGTGAACATAACAGTTTCAATTATTGATGAAAATACAACTTACAGTAAGATTTCAACTAACTTAGATGAAATACATCTTGATGAATGTATAGAGAAATAAAGGATACTACAAAAGATACACTTCAGTTATTGTGTTATTCAATTAAAGTAAACACTTAATATTTGTTTCAAACTAATCATCTCTTTATTATAATAATGAAGAAATACGTGTTATTACTAATCTTAAATATATTTCAGTAATACAACACAAGAAACATTCAGTTAATTTTATTACCAGGAAAAATTAATGATAGAACTAATCAAATCAACACCAAAAAAACACTTCCCACCCTCCCTCTTGTTCTCAATCAAAAATTGATTTATTAAACCAGAATCTAATTTTTAATTTTTATTTAAATGAATAGACAGTATCCTTTTGTAGTGAATAAAAAATTAGTAGTCTGGTATCTAATTAATAATCAAAATGCGTTTGTTTGTTTGTTTCTTATTCAATTAAACAAATGAAGTCCTAACTCTATCGACCTGAAAAGAGTTAAATAAAAGCATATGTCTATTGTAAATGTTGAATAATTTAGAAATGAACAGAGTTAGGTTGCTAACGGTATGAAGAGAAAGAAAAAAAACGTGCATATATCTATATTTGCATGCTTCATTGAACATCTAGTAGGATTTGTTTATATTCAAAGGTTTATTGATCATTGAAAAGAAAGTCTGATCATTTAAAGTATAGATAAAAACCAGTATGTACTGTATAAATGCTTCATTATAGGAAGTCATACATGTAATTTCATACAAGAAAGGATCTAAAACATCGATATCATTCAGTTGGAATCAAGTGGTCCACTTAATAAGCTTCAGTAATATCATAATATAGTGTGAATATTATCTGATACAATTGGTAAGTTAGTGTTACACTACAGATATACATGACTGAATTAGTCATTATTTTTTAATAGAACTTAGTGAAATTCATCCTTGAAGCTAATCAGAATAAAGTTGCGGTAATTGCTCATCAAACAGCAGATGATAAAAGGGACTTCAAGTTTAAAAATATTCTCACAAAATAACCTTTATTATTTAGTTGAAGTCTCAGTGAAAATACTAGATCTACGTTTCAACATAATACATTGTAATTAAATAAAATAATCGATTTTTATGTAATGATAATGAATTGTTTTTTACAAAGAGATATTATGGAGTGGCGAAGTAAGGTAGATATATGGGTCTGATTCATCAACAAAGTCTATAAAATATGGTTCCGATTGTAACAGCTAGATGATGCTTATCTTTTCAGTGATGATCTACCACGTTTCGTTTAGGACAATTCTGGATAGGTCTGGCTACATTAATACTAGAATTTTATCATTCTCTTGTTAACTAGACACACATGTTGATTCTTGTCTGTTAATTATTACTCACTTATTTGTCGCTTGTCAGATTTCCATAAGATATGATCATATTTCTAGACTGTCAGCTTTGTTTAGGGTCGATATTCAGCATCGTTTTCAAAACTTAAAGTGTAGGGCAGTGGTAAAATTAACAGATTGCGATTTGGAACGCTTCACGATCAACTCTATATAAGACAACTAGGCAGTATCCTTTATTTTGAACAAACATTGTCGTTCAAAGTTGATTTCTTAAACTTAGGATTATTAAATGAGTTAAATTATATTTATTTTCAAATTCTATGAATTTTCTCTTTTTCTGATATTAGAACTGTATACTATAGTATACCACATTAACTCACCTATACTAGAAGCTCTCTTAGAACTCGATCAGCACCAAAGGTTAGATAAGGTGACGTTTAACTTACCTCTTCGTGTACTTTGTTATAAATAGTACGGTCGACTACTTTTTGCTACTTCCAAATAAGTGATTATTGGTGTTAATATTATCAATATCATGTTTGCGTTTCCTGTGTTATGAATAAGGTTATACATGAATAGTGTTAGTAATCTTGCATAAGTTTTAGATTTCATATCTTCATGAATAAACTGAATAATAATATGTTTTAAACTAAGTCACATGTCCATTGACTTTTTCTCTGAATTTCCTACACAAATATAATTCCTTTGTCTAGTTTCTACTTCTAAAAAACTGTATCTCAATTGGAAAACTTGAGTAGTTGAAAGTATTTATTCCCAAAATATTAAGATTGATTTCATAAAGGACGAAAATAATTGAAGTAAGTATATTAAAAATCAATAACGCAGTGATAGCCAGCAAACAAAACCACCGAGTTTGACTAGAATTAAGTACTAAACAAGCATGACAGTCACAAACCAACGATTAAGAAAATTGTAAATATCTCAGTCCTTCATGTGGTCAATTGTAGTCCATATGACTTTTTAGTAACATATCAGACTGTGAAGCCAAATGATTCAGGTTCAAACACTTCATCTATTACTGTCTCTCTCAAGATTGTAAGGTGTTTTACTGGTTATCTCCATTCGCCTTACATCAAAACATAATGCACAAGATTTCTAGTCACTTACTGATTATTACTCACATTAGAACATAATAAACAGGATTCGTTATAAATGTAAAGGACTAGATGAGCATGCCATTGAACACTATGAATTGAACAACAAATGTAAATTTGTAAATGTATTCAAGAGCCATAATACGTATTATGAGATAACAAATAATTAAAAACTTGAGTGAACATAATCTGATATTCAGTGATCTATCATCGTTGTTGATTCTTTCATTTATTAAGTAGGCAGTTTAAGTGCACTCACAAAAATGTACCATATTCTATAAATTTACATTATTCTATTTTGACTTCTAACTTTACATATAGCTTTCATTATTATCAAATATTAAGTTAAATAAAATTTCTATACAATATAAAAACCAGAAAGTGGAGCTTTTGACATTAAAGCTTATTTAGTTTTTCCCTGTTTTTTTTTCCTTTCCTTAAAACATTTGTTTATTTCTATGTAAACAATTACATTTGTGCGTGTTATTTAAAATGATAAATGATTTTCAAATAAAGTTTATAGTTTTCTTTTTTTCAACTAAACGTTTTTAAAGTAAGAATAATTGAAATTAGTAGTATAGTATGGTATTATAGTAGTATAGTAGTATACAAACAAAAATTCAATATACATAAAGTATGACCATAAACTAGGAATGCTTAAATATGAATAAGGTGTTATTGAATACAGTATAATTTGTTAAGGATTTTTCAGTGGCACTTCTCATATCAAAACATCAAATACTGAAGGGAAATTTTTGAAAGAAAAAATAGCAATAAACAAAGCTTAAGCAAACAAATAAATTCCGACAACATAAATCATTGACAATTTGATTTGGTTTCTTGGCTTGTAGAAATGTTAGCAAGTATATAAACTATTGGTGATTTACAATTCTAGATTTAGAATGAGTATATATATGTATATATATATACACTTACATAAAAGTCTAATTTATGGGTTATATTCGTGATAAACTCCTAACTAGTTGTATATACATTTTATCTATGTCATTTCCCTATTTTCTTTAATCATTTTGTTCTCTTAAAATTTTGATAAATAGCATAAAGCTCATCTATGCAGGAAGATAAGTTCCAATAAAAGTTCCGTATTATCATTGAAAAGAATACTACTATTGTTCAGTGGATGTTTTCTTTTTATAATAAAAAAATAGTAGTAGAGTTATAAACTGAGAAGTTGATTGTTAAAATATAAATGAATAGATAAGGCTTATAATATTTAATGTTTCAATGGCAAATTGATTATATATGACCTAACCTCTATGGATGAATTGAATTTTCACTCAAGCTAATAAGTAATTTGTACCATTAATACTAAAAGTCATGATGAATAATAATAAATATAAGTAGTATGTAACACCAGTTAAAAGTAGAAAACCTGGCAGCAGAAAGTTGACTAAATCGAATAAAACAGAATAGGAACAGAGGGTAATGAGAATGAAAGAACGATAAACTCTGAGACAATTAATGGACATTTTACAAATGAAGGATTGAGCGTATGGTTTTTACATTTTAGCAAATAACTCTATAAATTTGTGCTAAAATATATTTGGTCGTCCTCACCTGTGTTTTCATTTATTACAATATGTGTATTATTTGTGTAGAATGTATTTTGTATAAATGACATCCAGTTCTTGTCTATTATTCGGTTCAATAAAACAAGTTCAGGATAGTTTGATTTATAGTGCTACATTTAAGACGTTTCATACCATCAAATGAATGTTTACATTTTGAGTAACTTAAATTAGAGAAAAGGTTAGTGAACATGACAACAAACATAATATAGTAGTATATATATATAAGTTAATGGACACTGACAATATCTTGATTTTCTTAGTTCGTATAAGAATCTTTTCTTTAATTAAACGACCTCTAGGCGATTCAAATTGTTATGTTGTTTTGAAAAATAACAGCCAACCGTTCAAAATAACAAT